CTCCTCTCCTCTCCTCTCCTCTCCTCTCCTCTCCTCCTCACATTTGACCAATGACTCCTTTCCCATGCTTTTCTTTCATGCAGATCGAACTTACTGTCTTTTACTACTCTTATTTCAATTTTACCTCCTGGGTGTGTAGCACTTATTGGACTCCAGTTTTGCCCTCTCTCACTGAAATGCTCCTTGTACTTGCATGCCCAGAGCTAACTAGACATATTTTGAAATTTATTGGTTTCCTAGATATTTTTCTCCCAAATCACCAAGAGTCTCCCAAAGAGAAAGACAAGCATCCTTATATGTGCAGAAATGGTACGAAAAGATCAGTGAGAAATTATTATATTCCTGGGCCATCATTCCTGAGGGAGCTCTATGCCCGAGTCTGACTCTCCCTTGGTCCTTCCCCTCTTTAAACAGTTCTTTAAAAAGGAGGGTCCCTTTTTGCTTTGCAGACTTTGCCTCTGGTTTCTCTCAGGACTAGATGTGAAGGTAAGATTGTATCTCATATCTCATCCACATGGGGAAAAATCTGAACATCTGTGGGCCTTGGCACTGAGAGTAGCTACAAACAGAAGAGTGATTCTGCACACTGGTGAGCTGTATCACTGCACGCCATCAGAAGCTGGCAGGGAAGTAATGGAAAATGAGTTAAGTGTCATTCTGCCTTTCTGTAGCTCGTCATTATGCTTTTTCGTCAGAGACATTAGGCAAGTTTAGCATTACTCAGCTGGTGCTTGATAATAACAGGGGCGTGCTCAGGTACACTGATCCCTTCTGGTTTGTTGTCCTTATTGTTTAGGAAACTGAATGTGACACACAGATGAGCAGCATCTTGGAACATATCAAGTATATGCATCTCTTCGGAGCATCAAATCTTTTCACATGTATTTGGAGCCTTTGAAAAGAAAGTGGAGAATAGGACAATGAGCAACTGAATAATAGATTCAGAGAGAAGCTGCTTGTGAAATGAATACAGATCTACATAAATGAAGAGGAGAATAATATGAAAGAACAAAACAAAAGAATCTACCACAGAAAGACAGTGTTGTGATTATGCTAATGAAAAGTATTGTAATTAGCTCTTCCACTGCTCTTCTGATAAGATATTAAACCAAATCAAAATGGACCTCTCTCCTTCAGCACTACTCAAGTGAGGCAGATTTTTTGTACAGTGACATTTTTTTGGTGTCACCAAGTAAGGAAATTATAAACATAGCTATAATCTCTTACACTGTAAAAAGAGTATGGAGTAAAACAGGAAGTGAAATCTAAGCATGGGGGTAAAAAAAAAAAATTATGTTTTATATGTTTTAAATATTAGGATTTTGAGTGTTTTCTAATTATTTCAGATCTTTCAACTTCATCTTCGCAAAATGTGGGATGAAGGTATGCTTTCTTATGAAGCATGAAAGCCAAACAGATTCATACTTGTTCATATGACTCCAGGAGCTGGTGTTATCACAGAGAAAGTGTATCATGGGATTTATAACAGCATTTGCAAAACTTAGTCACACTGGGTCATGTGAAGTTGTGATCTTGTCACAAAACACAGATCGGTGGCTGTTTAGTGCAGAGGAAGCTGCCTGGATGTCTGAATCATCAACTTTTTATTACAGAAAAATGTTTTTAAAAGTTTACAGTGGAATCTAAAGAAACATAATGATTAGAAAAGTCTAAGAATATGCATTTGTACCATGTACTTAACTTAATCTACATTCCAACAATGCTTTGATGGTATATTGATTTTGCTCAACTGTCCAAAAAATATACTTTTAACTTGAAATGTTGAATTTCTTGTGCATCATGTTTTTTGACATTAGTGTAAAGATCAGGAAAAGAATTTTTAAAAGACACAAGTGATAGCTAAGATCAATGCTAAACTTTCATTGTCAGGTCACCCTCATTCATTTTTTATTTTGATTTGTTGCACTCCATCTTCCAGCCCAAAGAGGAGTTTAAACAGTGTATGTTCTCTGGGTGTCTTTATAAATAGCAAAATGCAGCAGGGTAGCACATGAACAATTGTGAGGCACATCACAACCCCTGCAAAAATTGTTAGTAGGGTGTGTTGTAAAATTGATTGTGTGATCTTGCTGTCAAAGGAGATGTCTGCATACTCCTGCCTGACAGATGCATATGGACCCTGAATTATAATGCAGTAATATGGAGGAGGTTGTGGGCTGTGTAGACAGACATTATTGTCTTTCAACAACCTAAATATTCTGAATTTACTATTAGTTCTCCACTACTATGTGTCTGTAACTGGAAAAGGTGATCTGTACAAGTGCTACAGTCCTATTCCTATGAATTTAATAAAGCACATTGTTCATCAGAGGTCCTGGATTTATAAATCTTCGTCTGGCTTTCTTGGAGGGAAAATCCTCTCCCGGTGCTGTGGGGATATAGACACTTTTCTTTCTGGCTCCATTTGAGCAACTGGCTCTGTGCTCAACAGCTGATTTTCCTCTTCCTCCAGTGTCTCATGTGTTTTCATCACATGATGTTGCTGGCTTGTTTTTCTTCCTATGTCTCCTGGTGAAGTAAATGCCTAAAGAACTGTTGTATTAAGGACCATTGACATTGCTAGATTAGAAAAATAAAAACTGATATCTAATTAAGAGGTACGTTTTTTCTCTCCACATTCAGTGGCTGGCAAGGATGCTGTCCATGAGGCTTTATGTGCTTGGAACTGAAAGGGTACAAGAAAATTTTCATTCTTCAGCTGTGTGTCTGTCTATGGTCTTTGCAAGGGACAATGGATAGGACCCAGAGGCATTTCCATGAAAGGAACAGTTGAAAGGTTTGGGCTTCCCAGGAAACAAAAGCTGAGTTTGATTGAGGCAAATGTTGCCTGCATCACTAGCTCAAAGAGGAGACATTTGGCTCCAGGCTGGCGGCACAGGTTGAAGTGACTAAAACATCCTGAAGTGCAATAGGAAGTTCTGCTCAGCAGCGGGGAGGCGATGGAAGCGTCGCTGACCTATAAACAGGATGAGGGAGTAGCAGCAGCAAAGTGCATAGACAGTCGCTGGCGCTGCGCTGACAGGCAGACACATAAACAAAGGGAGAGAGGAAGCTCTGTTTATATCTGGAAAAGAAACCCCAAACTATAGGATGCAAATGATGGACATACTTGGCTATAAATAGCTACAAAGCATAATGGGACTTAAAAGATTTAGTTGTGACATAAAGACTCCATGCAGAATAGCCTACGTAAACTCACTACTTATTATTTAAGCGATGTGCTTTTTTTTTCCTCCTCACATATTTAATATTCCTGATCATGATTAACTAGGCTTTTTAAACAGGGAGGAGAAAATTCACATAAATCAAATAAAAACATTGTGTTCTTTTGTAGAAATGAAGCAGCTAAAAAAATTGGGAAGCTGCCAGACTTTTCAGTCAATTGTCTAAGAGATCCAGTCAGCAGTAATTTTGTGTTTGGGTATGTAATAGTGTCTTATTAGATCAGTAATAATACTTTGGTGGCCAAAGGGTAAGGACGACATAGCAATATTTTGTTGAGCTTTTAATTGTGTTCTCAGGGTTTGGGAATATTAATCAGAAGTCAAGTGAGAGTGTCATGCCCCATACATTATTCTGACAGGGAAATGTGGATGGGAAACAATCTGTACGCAACCACTTCAAGATGCAGATGATCATCGTCGTTCTACCTACTACTTAAGTAGTTAGGGAGCCTCACCTGCAGCTTTTGCTGGACTAGCAGATTCAGTTCAGGGGGGTTTTGTGCCAGTTGTGGTAGTTAAGAAGCTTTTGAACAATAATAGGTAGAGATAATTTTGTTACAAAAAGTTTCTCTGCTGAACTTGAAGTGCTGACAAAGTAGGCATACTTAAAACATTTCTGGAAGTGGTAATTTGTTTCTTAGTGGAATTATTTGTGCGATAAAAGAAGAATTGCATCTTAAAAACAAACAGTTACTTGGAATAAGATGCCTGCTGGCACTTTTTTACCAGATAACAATTCTGTGACCTTTGAGGAATTTGTCTAGAGGTCCTGCTATGGGCTATTGTGCTTGTAGATTTTAACTTGCCATTTTCATCTGTAACACTGAAACTGCTTTCACAATGGCCTTTCTGGCCTTTCTAAAAAAATGAACAAGTATTACTTTTCATACACACAACATAAAAACTAATAAACATTAAAAATGTTTAATAGTTTCTGGTATTGTGTGCAGACATGAATACACAAAGAACAACTGAAGTTTGTCTCTAAAAGTCAAGGAGAGGCAAACCTTTTTATGCCCTCAAGCCACCTGCCCTAATAGATATTGCATAACAACTTCAGTTTCATTCAGGGTGGCACTGTAATTTCCAACTTGACTGTCAGACTCATTTCTTTCACAGCAGGGCATGCTGTGCTTTCTGCACTGTGCAACTTCCACAACTGAGTTTATTTACTAAGATTCAGAGGGAAAATGTCAGAACCTCTAGAGCAATGTGCTTTTCCATCCTACAAATGTCCTCAGCCTGTCAATTCTTTCTCTCATTGTTTCAGGGTCAGGCTCGCAAGACTTTCATTGTTAGATCTCTACAGGATGTGTTTATACCCAAAAAATTAATGTTAAATTAGTGTTCTTTCTTTACCACTGTCATGTCTCTGACTGAAGGGGAGTTTTTTTGCCCTGTCCTATTTGCAGTTCCATGCTCTGCAATGCAGCCACTGTTGTGTAAGCTTGCTGCTTGTTTGTGCTCAAGTGCTGTATTCCTTATGACATTCTAGGGATCAAGCCTTAGTTAGGCTGGGAAGTGGGAGACCACTGCCACAAGCAGCAGAATTCCCTACTGACCAAAGTTTATCAAAGACAAAAGTTGGTAGGTGACTATGAAGTGCTGGAACTTTTCAGAGTGGTGCAGATTTTGGGACTTCTTTACCCAACTCAGTATTAACCAAGTTCTTTTCTGAGGACCTCACTTGCTGCCAAGTGTCTTTGAACAGCTCTGCCATGTGTCTAAGTTTCCTAATTGAATAGGCCCACATTTGGAGGACTAGGCTAACTACTGCCTAAAATTAAAATAATTTCTGTTGTTCTGCTACTGAAAGGAACAATGCCATTGCAATGCACATTTAAGCTGTGGCATTGTACTTAGTACTCATTTAAATTCCCTCTTTGTCATTTCATTTATTGCTGTAAGCAGCCTTAGAAAGTTAAAAATAAGAGAAAAGAGGAAGCACAATTAGAATGCTCTGAAAATTAACTTAAATTTTCTCTTCTGTTTTTCTCAGATGGAGGAGTTTGTGGTTGCATGCTGCACTGCTTGGTGGATACGTGCCTGGCCTGGCTATAGTAGGTTAAAAGGAAATCAAGGGTGGTGCTGCTAACATTCCACCCTCAGCTCCCTATTCACCTCTCATCATCCACCCTTGCATTTGAACTCAATCGCTTTACCCACCCACCTAGTTTCCATGTGAAATTGTGCTAATGGATGTCTGCCCCACAATATGCCGGGAGACTTGAGCTGGTTTTGTAATTTGCAACTTTCTTTTGAATTTCAGGTGTTTCCAACTTGCGAAATCCTGATTTGGGTCAACATCTGAACTCCGTCCATGTGTGTGTAATTCACGGATCAAGAGGTTGATCATCAGAACTTTTTTGTGGTTCAGGGACATTAGATACTGGAATTTTGGTATAATTCTGTGTCTAGCAGGAAGGAAAGGGCCAGAAAGGGAACTGATAATGATTTGAATGGAGTAGGACCTTGGGCAGCTCTGCTTTGCATGCCCTGCAAGCTCTGCACAGTCATTAACACTGATGAAGCATTAGAGGTGTGTGGTGCCAGATAGAAGTCAGTCCTTCCAGGAACACTTGCCATATTTTTATGTCTTCTCATTTCCTACCTGTGTCTTGGCAGAACTAGAGCAACACAGTGGAACACCAGACTTTACACACCTTATCTACATTACCCTCTTCCAAAGACCATTCTCTTTCCCTTCTCAGTCCAAGTTTCCTTTTTTCTTTGTTTTGCTTTCTTGTTTTAGTTTCCCTCCTTTTCTTTCACTCTTTTGCTCCATTGAAAATCTCCCTCATGCCGGGAGAGGCCAAAGCTGAGCTAGTATCAACAGGGTACCTTGGAGGAAACAAGCACCAGGCTGCATTGTGAAATTTCATGGTACTTGCAGTATGGCCTGTTTTTACAATCAACTGCCAAGAGAAGATGTTCAAGAGGATGTGTTCGGCACCAGATCAGGGAATCTCAGGTGACATTCCTGGTGCAGAGCTGGACGAGGCTCCCTGCGTAGGGAGAGAGAAACAAGTTTTATTCTGGGTCATAGAAGAGTCTTCAATTCTGACTGGGTGTTTTTTGGTGTCAGAGCCTCTCTTAAGTGTGTAGGAGAGGAGCTAGGCAGAGGTGACAGCATTGGCACATTTGTACCAGTGGTCAGAGCAAGCCTGGTCCATACGGGGCAGCAGGGACTGGCCTCTGTTTCTTTCCTCTCTCTACCGTGAACTCACATTTTACCTTGCGTGCACTGCCAGAGGCTGTCCCATCTCCTAGGTTGTAGGTTTGTTTTCTCTCTCTTTCTGGTCTAATAATTATTCAACTGGCCTATGCAAAGTGGAATTTCTTCAGGCAGAGCTGCCCTTCTGTGTCTGTTTAGAGAGTTCATCGAACATATGATGTCTTAGGTATATTCAGGCTGAGAAAAACCCCTAAATTTAAGTGCTTTTCAGATGGATCAGAGATCTGAGATACTGGCAGGGAGTTTAGGACAAGTTCCTTGTGGGGTCACTTTGAAAACTCTTGCCTGTTCGGTTTTTACCCTATTACTACAACTTAGGGAGCCAGAGGATTGTTTAGACACAGGTAGTCTTGGTCTTGCTTTGATTTATATATATTTGGAGATTTAACTTCTAGATGTGTAGCAAGTAGCTGGAAGAAGTACTGGGGACTCAAATGTCTCCAAGTACAGGGATGGGGTCTGGAGGAGACAAGACAATAGACAGACTCTTTTGTATTTTCAGTGCAGGGTGAAAGAAAAGTCACATGCTTCATCCCTTCACATTAACACAGGAAAACCATCTCACTGAACTTCACATCCTCCTATTTCTGAGGCAAAGCAGAAGAATATGAGAGAACAGAAACAATGGAAACAGCAACAAATGAATAAATTTTATTCTGACATAAGGCCTAGACTTCAGAAGTGTTTACTCCATCCTTAAATCCCTCAGTTTTCATCCTGATCCTCTCCCATATTTTACCTAGTAGAGCCCAGCTGTAGGGAGTAAAATAGAGCAGCAACCTGCACACATAGAAATTCATCAAGTCCTGTCACACATCATCTCTTTCTGCAGAATTGTCCAGTAATGTTTAATTGTCAAAAACCTCTTAACTGCAAAAGCATTAACTTAAGTGCAGTTTTTTATTCTGACACCGAACCTTGGCAAAGTGTTTAATGCTCATAGCCATAGGAGGTGTTTCTGTCACAGGAAGCTTTTTAAAAATGGCAAATAATAAACCAAAGAATGGGACAGAAAAAAACCAAGAAAACAAAATGAAAGAAGCAAACACAAAATTTAGAAACTGTAACACTGTTCTTTAAGTTTTGGTTAAAACTTTAGTCTCTGCATTACAAAGTTATTGTTCAAAATTTCTTTCTTTCTAGCAAAGTGTGAAGCGTTCATGATTCTCTTGGCTCATGTATATTATAAACTTGGCACATGTCCTTTTGAAAGAGTAAGCTTTCCTCAAAAAACTATTTTCCATTGCTTGCTGTAAATATAATGTTGTTATACAGTCTCCTCAGACATAAAAACCTGCTCTTATAATGTATATTGAAACTATTAGGATAGAATAGAAAGAAGAAACCAGATTTTTTTTTTCTCAGAACAGTTGAAGCTGAATTGAGGTGATTATTATTGCTGTTAGTGTCATTTTGCCATAGACTTTGTGCCTCCTGACTCAAAAAATATGAAAGACATCTAAAAGTCTCTAGCACGTGGCACTTCACAACTTCCAAATCTCCTGAAGTGGGAGATTTTCTGTAGTGACCAGAGTAGTAAATGGACATCACTGACTGCAGCAAATCTAACTGACATCAGTCAGTTTATGCAAACTCTCTTACTTTACATAACTGTGCTAAAAAAGTTCACAACTAATTGGCTGTAACATTCTCTCTCCTTTGGCCACAATGACATGATTTCTTTTTAAATATGCCATGCACGTTTTGCTATGCGACAGCAGAAAATTGTAGTCTGTCATTGTGATTATCTGCTGTCTGGCTTCTTTCTCGCATGTGCAGAAGTTTTTATCCACAGTTTATTGTCTGTTTCCAAAAGCCAAAGACAAAACCACAAGGATTGGGTTAGACATGTCTTGCTGCAAAAAAGCCTGTGGTATCCTGAGCTGTGTTAGGAGGAGTGTTGCCAGCGTGGTGAGGGAGGTGATCCTGCCACTCTCCTCACCACTGGTGAGTCCCTGCTTGGAGTGTTGAATCCAGTTCTGGGGTCCTCTGTACAGAAAAGACGTTGACACACCTGAGAGAGTCCAGTGAAGGGCTACAAAGATAACTGACGGATGAGAGCATCTCTCCTATGAGGAAGGCTAGGAGAATTGGAACTGTTCAATCTAGAGAAGAGCAGGTTCAATGGTCCTTAATATAATATAGCTCAATATATATTAATATCTGAAGGAGGATGTAAAGAGGATGGAGCCAGGCTCTTTTAAGTGGTGACAGAACAAGAAACAATGGGCAGAAACTCAAATAATGGAGATGCCATCTGAACATCAGGAAACAATTTTCTATTCTGAAGATGACTGAGAACTGGCAGATATTGGCCAGAGATCGTAAAGACTCCATCCTTGAAGACATTAAAAAGCCATTTGGACATGGTGTAACAGACTCTAGAAGACCCTGCTTGAGCAGAGGGTTTGGACCAGTTACCTCCAGAGGTCCTTTCCAACCTCAGCCCTTCTCTGTTAAGGAAACATGAAGGAACAGAAACTGCATTTTGTATCTTCAGTGAGATGTGCAAGCATATATTAGGTAAGGATTGAATAAATAACTAAATTTATCAACTGTCTGCATTAATACATGGGTAGCAAGTCTAAAAAAGGTCTTTCTTTCTTTCTTTCTTTCTTTCTTTCTTTCTTTCTTTCTTTCTTTCTTTCTTTCTTTCTTCCTTTCCTTTCCTTTCCTTTCCTTTCCTTTCCTTTCCTTTCCTTTCCTTTCCTTTCCTTTCCTTTCCTTTCCTTTCCTTTCCTTTCCTTTCCT